CAGTTAAAGAAAGGAAAGTTTGCTTATTCTTAGATGCCAACAAATGAGCCTTCCTCCCCAAGAATTGACTGCTCTTATTCTCCCCACACACCTCCAAATGCAGGTTCAGTTTAGAGTCGGAAGCAAAGGGTTGTCTGGGCTCTGTTGCATATTCTACCAGCTGGGGGAAAGAGCTCATGTTCCTGGGGATGGGAGGGAACAACTCCATATACAAACCTGTCTGTCCGCTGTCCATTAAATTCTTGCATAACTCACTGCTTTCTTGTTTGTATTTCTGCAATCTCCCCTTTCCTTCCTGGCCAGGATTTAGTGAACCAGTCAAGAGCCGGATGCTGCTTTAATGTCCCTAGCATGGCTGGCCCATTGTCAGAGAAGTTTCTTCATCTTTCCTGCCTTCTCTATGCAGCAGCTTAAGTTTTCTGAATTGCCGACTGTCCGGACAGAATCTGTTTCTGGATATTAATTTTAAAAGAGGGGAATCTTAGAATGAAGCTTGTTTCTGTGATCAAGATGAAGAGTCCCATTTCACTGTGAATGATCCTCAGATCTTTCTGTGGTCTCATTTGGTGGGATCCTTAACCGTGTTTCCCCCCCCCCCATAATAGCAAATAGCGGAGGGGGGGAAGGGAGGCATGGTAAAATGTGGGGTCTGAGCTCCCCTTTTTTTAAAAACTGAACTTCTCCAAAGGGAACAGCACAAAATCAAAGCTCATATTAAGAGAGGATGCTTCTTTTCTGAAGAATATATCCAATTTGCCAGCCAAAAAAAAAAACACAAGAGTTCAGGCAGAGGATTAAAAAGCACAATTTTGCATCTGCCTCCTCCCCTTTCTAATTTTGTCATTGTGATTTTCCTCTTCCACATCTGCTGGAATTTGAAAGATATGCTTGAAAATATTTTGTGAAATGGGCTGTTCTGACCATCCCGGTAGTTCTTTGAATTCAGAACATATTTCAATTCAGGTTTTAGACAGATGTCTTGAGCTTGTGGCAGGACTATTTCCCAGCATGGATGAAGCAACGTATTTTTTTTTATTCAAAATGTTCTTGTCGCCCCCAGATAGAAATGGCGTCCTGCCTGAGGTCGCCATTTTTCCTCCCGATCTTTTCCTTCCAGTTAAATCGCCCATGATTAAAAAAAACCCGTCTCTTTGCAGTTTTTCACTCTTGATCATTCTTGTGGGCAGAGATGGGAGGATTATTTGCCCAAACACTTAAGATAAGGCTGGCTGAGGATAAGATTGGGAGCACTCCATCCTCTACTTGTTTGTAAACAGATTTATCGTGCTGTCCACCCTGAACAGAGGCCACGGGGAGGAGATGATTTTAAAAGCCGAGATGCTAAACACAGTAACAGAGCAGATGGGAGTGGATGAACCCGGTTCTAGGCATATTACTCAGGCATTCAAATTAATATTCTTCTGCTGCAGTTCTTGTATTAGATTGAAATGCAAACATTTTAGCTTCTGTGGACTTTCCCAAGTGCCAGTGGAATCTGGCCCCAAACTGAAATCAAATACTTCTGTTATAGGAGTGTTAAGACTTTACATCCCACTCTTAAATTTTTGTAGTTGTGACTTACAGGGGGGGGGGTATTTTCAGCAGGCAATTTGTGTGTTGTCATGAGGTGCCATTTCCTGTGAAACAATGCTGATCAGTTTATGAGGCATTGGCAAGGCGGGAAGGGAACTGTAGTATTTGTATCCTGTACAGGACTGAGACTTCAGTCTTGTGTGCTCCAGTCCTTCTCTTTCTTCGCATTATCCCATTTTAATCGGCACTTGCAACTTCTGACAATCCTAAATCCAAGCCTTACCATTGTAGGACTGGGCTATCACTGAAAAAGCATCATAGCAACATTACAAGGGAATCCAGTTTATGATAAAAATAGTAATTGGGTCTGTTTCTTAATTTCCTTGAAAGCTCTTAATGGAGGTTGGTGGCAGAGCGCAAAACACATCCAATCTAAATTCCCTTAAATAAGGAACTGTGTGAAATGGAAGGGCTATAAGTTGACTGTTCTCTCTTTAATCCTTGGGGGGGGGATCTTGCAGAGTTGGGAGGGGGAGACAAATATTTTTGGAGGGAAATTATTAAAAGAGGGATCTCGGTTCTTTATATGATAATCTGCTCAATATAATATTTTTGCAAATCAGAGTTGGATACAAAGATGTATTGTGTACATTACACAAGTGTGTGTATATAAATATAATAAAATATATATTCTGGAACTTTCTAGAATTTGGAACAGATATTTAATGACTATCCAAAAGAGGGAAAGTACTGTGAGGTTCTGCTTTGCTGCTTCATTCTGAGACTGTTTAAACGAGCATAGTTTTGTTTTTTAATTTTAAAGATATGTCATCTGCTTTATTGCCATCGTAGCAGTTTATAAAGCTCCAGGCAAATATTTCTGCAGGGGTAGGTGGAACTTTGTAAAACACCTCCCCTCAAAAGCCTATTTGAATATGATTTAATTTATTCATAACGTGTTTTTGTAATACTTGTACAATGACAAATAAAAAGATACTTTGAGCCATTAAGCTGTTTACAAAAGAATTTAAAAAAAAACACAGTTTTTTTCACGCTGCCAAAATTATACTGTTTAAAATAGCATTTCGGCCTTTTTCTCTTTTCTCTTTTGAAAAAAATGGTGGTGAGGACCGATTCTTACATACAGAGGGGAAAATAAAATACAAAGCTGAATACTGATTTTTATTATTTTTGCAGCACATAATAAAATCATTATATTGGAAATGCATACAGGCTTTTTTGACATCTGTGTCTTAGTGTCCCAGGCACTGTGACACTTTTAAAGTGCTGAACTCATGTGAATTTTGAGAGAATCTCTAGCTTTGGGATTTCTGTGATCTGAGGGGTCCTAGAAGTGAACATGTTGAATAGAGATCTATCCCACTTTCCGTTAAAAGAGTTCCAAGTAGGGTACATGGAACAATCTACCTGTTAGGAAGATTGGACCGACAAGAGAATGACTGACAGATTCAACCAGCATTCTTGTCAGAAATGTAATTTTTGACTATTCTTCACTATATTAGAAAAACTTGAGGTAATGGAAACTTAACATACAGATAGTCCTCGACTTACAACCATTCATTTTTTTTCAACTTCAAAGTTACAACAGCATCGAAAAATGTTATGTCCTTAACCTAATGACCATTGCATCACCCTTCCAATCACATGGTCAGAATTTGGGTACTTGGCAATTGGCATGTATTTAGGATGGTTGCAGCATCCTGAGGTCATGTGTTCACCTACCCTGCTGGCTTCCAAGTAGTAGTCAATGGGAAGCTGAATTTGCTTAACAAATACGTGATTCACTTAGCAACTGCAGTGATGCATTTAACGGCCATTGCGAGAAAGTTCGTAAAATCAGGAATGCCTCACTTTGCCACCACCTTGCTTAGCAACGGAAATTCTGGTCCCAATTGTTGTAATTTGAACACTACCCCAACTTGCTCCACAGTGACTAGAGATACAGGTAATCCATTCTTAAGGACTCTCTCCTTGATCAGTTTCCATCCGTTGCTTCTTGTCCTGCCTTCAGGTGCTTTGGATAATAGCTTGACTCCCTCTTCTTCTACAGGAATTGCAATCTTGTAGCCTCTCCATCACTTTTCAGCAATATAATAAGTGCAAAAGCACCACCCAAGTCATTTTAAACTTAAATCATAGAAATGTAGAGGTAAAAGGGGTCACATCAGGTCGAACCCTCTGCAATGTGCAGGAAACCCAGGTAAATCTCAATGACAGCTGACTGTTCAGCCTCTTCTTAAAAATCTTCGGAGACTGACAACCTACCGCCTCCATTGACAGACTGTTCCACTGTTTACAGATCTTACCACCAGGAAGTTTATCCTTAAACAAAATCTGCAACTTACACTCATTATTTCTGGTCTTGGTTTCTCTCACCATGACAAAATGTTCTTGTTCTATCTTCCCTATAGTTTCTCTTTATTTATCTCTACATGGCTATCATCATTTAATGCAGCTTGATAATTATGTAGAAAAACAGAAGGGTCTTTTGCAGAGGAATAAAACACTGGAGAAATTGGAAGACAGCTCTTGACACAGTATTGAGTGGTGTTGAGACTCCAAGCATGTTAAGACTTAAATGTGCTGCTTTAACAAGGCCTAGCGGGAATAGAGGGAGCTGAAAGGGAAAGGGCAAAAAAGTCTCAAAGCAGGAACTGAAAAGGCACTAAGTGCAGAGATGATTTTCTTGAGACAATGCTAATTTAGATTCGATTCCTTCCTATTGAAAATGTATCTTAGGAATCCTGAAGGAGTGGCAGCAAAGTTTATTGGGTAAGATTTGGAATGTTAGGGAAGCCCTTTCCTTGAGAGATAACTCGGCTAAAAATTTTTGGCTTTATCGCACCCTGTACTGCTAGGCATCCATTAATTGATTATGTGCAATTGAGTTGGTGTTTTACTCTTACCAACTATATAAATAGACCTCCAGAATGATCTGTCCCTAACCTGGTCTCCCAAAGGTGAACCCATGGTCGCTACAACTGAGTCTTATGTACCTTGTTGCTAGTTATCCACTTTTCTCCTGCTCTTTAGTGCTGTTATAACTTTGAATGGTCACTAAACAAATGGTTGCAAATAGTTATGATCTGATGTTAGAAACCAGAAAATCCTGAGTTCTAGTCCAGCCTTGGAAGGAAAGCCAGCAGTGGGGTTGAGACACAGTCCTTCACTCTCAGCCCTACGAAATCACATTCATCTCTGATCAAGGAAGACATGTGGGTTGAAAAGATTTGCTGGTGACAATACCATTGCTTAAGGGATGCCTGATTGCCAGCTGTTTGGTATAGATCAAAGCATGCAAACCAAGTGGACGTGGCCCTAAATGAAACAGCGAGACTGGTCAAGGGCTGTCTAAAATTGACCCCAGTATAAAAGTTGCATTGTCTAGTTGAAACTTCCCCAACTTTTCAGGCTTTGTGGACCAGCAGGGGTAGGGGATGGGGGCAGAGGGGATGGTGCTGTGTGAGCGGCTGGCAAGCGCACCTGCCGCTCAGCAAATGGAGCATGCACACACTGCACAATTGAGGATGCGCATGCGCGCACCTGCGCTCGGTAGCTGTTTCTGTGGCCCAGTTGCAAACCCTTCACGGTCCACTAGTGGGCTACAACCCACAGGTTGGGGATCCCTGATCTAGCTGGTATCCCCTCCTTCAAAATTCTGCTGGGAAAAATGCTGCACAGAAAGAGTGGGTTAAAGTGACTGTAGAAACACAGGAACACACCGACATCAACCCTCAAGGTTCAGACTGAGATTGAGGAACAGCTTCTTCAAAACATCTGCCCCTGCTAATAATCAGCCACCATAGATAACCCTGGAACTATGGAAGGCAAGTAAGAAGCTATTGGGCAACTGGTTACAACCAGACAACTGTCTAAATCAGGGGTAGTCAACCTTGGCTTTTATGACTCATGGACTTCAACTCCCAGAATTCCTGAGCCAGCTAAGCTGGCTCAGGAATTCTGGGAATTGAAGTCCACGAGTCATAAAAGAGCCAAGGTTGACTACCCCGGTCTAAATAGACTGCACACTGGAGTAGGAAAATCAAAGGACAATCTAAGAAAATGGGGTTTCCCTATAGAAGATACTGTGTGTGAATGTGAAGAACAACCCATCTCACATATGCTGCAGTACATACAATCAATTGACCACCCAGGACCTATATAAAGGAACAAGATAGTTCACCCAAAAACTCCGCTGAAGAAGTTACCT